TTTAGCAATTAATATCTCGGAAACGAAGCCTCCAATGCAATTTTGCCATTTTTGCTTTTCGTCTTATTTTGCTATGTAGATTCATAATAAAATATTGCAAGCTTAAAAGGGGAATAATTGCACTATGGAGACTTCTGATTACGTTCGAAAATAGTCTGAAATGAATCAAGACATCGTCCCAGGGATAAAAGCTGCTGTTGAACCTATCTCAAGAGTGATATTCTACAAAAGCAAACGCTACCCATGGATTGTTGGGCAGTTAATTAAATCCTCAATGTGTATCGATCGCTGACTTGACACGAAGCGAGCATTGCCAGAGCAAATACTCAGAGGGCCTGCACGATGAGCCTGGAAGTGCGCGGCAATTGTTGCACGGTTGATCTTTGTAGTTAGATTAGGGCAGTCGGGACTTCGTTAGCGACCCATTGTGAATAGATGTGATCATTACGCGTCTACTTTGCATAAGTTCTTACGGCGTGAGAAGGGAAGGAGCTCAGGGGGCGAGGCAGAGGATGAAGGAAGGAGAAGAAAAGGATCAAAAGGGAAATGCTGGGCGCAAGATGCAGCGAAACAGATGGAATAAACATTGAAATTCGTCCAATTAAACTATCGCGGACGCGGTATGGGGCAGAAAAGAAAGTAATCGCGAGAGGCAGGAATGAAAACGGAGGACAAAGACGGATTCAGGAAGACATATCTACCGTGTTTCCGATAAAAAAACGTTGCACCGTTCCGTGCAGAGTTACGGCATCGGCGTAATTTCGGCCCACGCTGCTCCCGGATCGTGCATACGTAATTCATGCGTTTTCATTGAAAAAGTATCGTGGGGCGTTATGCTAATACGAGAGGCCGGGGCCGTTACTCGCGGCCGTATGTCACTGACCACCTCCGCCACGGCCCATTCGTTGAATAATAGACGCCCTGTGTTGTTCGTTGATCAGCGCGGGTGTGCGTATTCGGGAAGAATCGCCATCCGAGATTCGTACGTTCACCGGTCTCGCAGGCACTCGCCAGGTATTACGAATCGGGACGATATTAAATTATAATTCACGGCACGCTTCGCCGCGTTACTTCAGACTTTCCTTCACTATTTATAGGCTGACCGTGCCTATTCTCGAACCCAGCGACGGCTACGAACCGAGTCCGAGACGGTGTAGAGGTCGCGATAGTAGTCTCTCGACTGCAGCGCCATCCACGTGAACCAATTGGGCCAGAATTTCTTAGACTTGCCTTCTTTGCAGCTCTGAACAATACTGCAGTAATGATAGTAGAATGATACTCTTAGATACTCAACATCTTTTGAGGTAAGTTCGAGAGTACTCAGACTATTGAGCCTACAACATGCTTGATCTTAAGGTCTAGTACTCGGTATAGAACTACCAGGGAGTATTAGACTGGAAGTAACTAGTTGTCTCGTCGTTATCAGGGACGTAAGGAGGTCTCATGATTTTTTTCTGGCAGAGTTTAACGCGATTTCTCCAGGAACAAAACCCTTAAATTTCATTGGCATTGAGTGTGCCGGGGCTATTGAGCCTATAAGATCCTTAATCCGAAGATCAAGAACATGATCTACCCCTCCGTTCATCACTGCCAGGAGCTATTGAATTCGCAATACCTAGCTTTCTCATCGTTATCCGAGTCATGAAGGAACGCGAGGAGATCCGTCAAACTCTAGCAGCCATAAGGAAGCTTCTGAGAGGAAGTTTGCAAAGAGGAGGCTTTAATCTTCGAACTCGAGATGGTCTCGAACGGGCAAAAAAATTCTTTTCACTTTTGTGGGTGTTTTGAATCCAGGTCGTCTCGTCGAGTGAAACCACAGCTTTTTTAAGAGTGCAGCCTATTTCTGACTGTAACCCCGTCCGATGGGAGATAAAATACTTGCTCGGGATTAAGAACAGTCCGAGTCGAACGTTCCCCGGTTGGGCAACGCTCGGTTTCATTGTTGAATCGACACTGCCACCTACAACCGTGTTACTTTCTTTCCGTGGACCTCGGTTAAATCACCACCGTGCCTACTACAACCCGATTACATATGTACACACTCGATCCTGGGTAAATAAGCAAACAAATACATCTTATGTATCGCTCCACGGCAGGAAATCTCGAGAATGGCGCAAGCGATGCCACGAACCGGTATATCGAGGGATGTTCAACCCTCGAGCTAGCACACCCTGACACACCACGTGCTATGTGCTTCTAAACCTAGAATTATTTATCAGGATTTACATAGAGATCGTGTGGATCTCCCTGAACAAGGATAGACACATTTTCCACGAAGTATTTTAATTTTATTCGCGTGTAAAGGGTGACATTTTCTTTGTACCTTATATATAGAGGAGAAAATGGAGTATGTGTACGAAAGATTCATTTTAAAATAAAAAATTTATGAAAAAGAAAAGCAAATGGAAGCCGCTAAATTCTTGAGATTTTTGCTCAAAAGGAATAAATATAGAGGTGTATTATTAATGGAAAATGAATTAACCATTTACGTTGAAAAATATAATTGTTTCTAATTTCATGGAATGGTGCAGCGATTCTTGTTAACGAGATACAATAGTTGTACTTTCACGTGCCTATCATTCACCAGATCTTAATAGCATGCAATTACGTGTATTTTGAAACGTCTAATGCCTCGTTGCAAATTGTTCGACAAGTACTCCTCGGTTCACGCAGCAAATCAGTCGAATCGTTCTTGCCCGACTAAAAATCATTTATTTTTCCTTGTTAACAACGCATTAGAAACGATTTGCGTGGTTCTGCGAAGGTGATGAAACCTTGTTAGTTCCAATATTATGGCGGAAAGATCATAAATTATTACTTTCGAGTGTTTAATCGATCGTCGCAAATAAAATTAAGTACCTTCATCTTGGTGTGCGTTGATTTATGGATTTACTTTAACGAGATTTATTTAGCCGATACTTTGTAATATTATATAAGATACAGCGCTACAATTTATACTATAATCGAAACTGTCTAATTCTTTCTCCAAGTAACCGATTCTGTCAACTTTCTTCATAAACTTCATGTTTCGAAATATCGAACAAGCTTATTTCACAATTTACACGAGAAATTCCAATACATTTTCACTATATTCTATAAATGTCACACAGGCTATTAAGATAAATCATAATTCTAATTCTGTTACGAGTTAAAAATAAATAAAAATAAATATTACGACACATTTTAGGTTATGTAGTTTCCAACAGTCTAAAATCAAAATGGCGCCGTCAGAGATGTCGCTGGTAGTCAATGTATCAAACAGTTTCGAGTTTTAGGGTGGATTCCGAACGTCCCTGAAGATGGGAACCAAAAAAAGTAATGAAAACCGTAAACGTTTTCATCGATCAAAAGAACAGTTTATTAATCGGTCGCTTTCTTAGCCGCGATCTTGTGCAAGCAGCTGCAATGCCTTTAATCCAAGATCGAATTCCCGATAGGATTCGCGCGCTCGATCGATCATCGCCGTCGACGTGATCGATATATCGACACTCCGCACGGTTGGTCAATTCTATGCAGTTACGGATACCTCGCGGTCCATTAAGCGCCACCGGCGCACTGTACTTTAATGAATTTCTGGCTGCGCGGCTATTGGCTTTCGCTTTTTCTTCGCCTAACGTTTTGACGGTTCTCCTTGACTTGATTTATCGGCCAGGGAAAAGTTCCAGCTGTCTCGCGCGCTAAAAGACGGGGGTGCAATTCAGGAATGTTACGAATCTCGTTTGGCTCTTTCTCTTATTATACTTGCTATTTACAGATCGAACGGACAGCGATAACGAATTCTTTCGTACGAGTATATTTAGTACATAATATTAGGTTGTCCTGAAATCGATCGACTCGATTTTCTAACTTTGTATTCGGGTGATTAACAGATAAAGCACGATTAGAGATCAAATTCATCGTGCACGTTACTGTTTTGAAAGAATACTCGGTTGATCGCGTTAATTGTGGATCGGAATTCGCGTAGGAGTCGAAGGAAAGATTTACTGGAGTCGACTCGAACGTGGAACGTAAAATTTTTAATCGAAAATTGTTATTAATGTGATACGATATGGAGTAACTGTTCTGCTAATCGAATTGTTGTTCAATTGGTTACAAATAGTAAAATTCCCTTTCTTAATTAATTGAGCCAAGATGTCCTATTCTAACGCCAATTAGTGTTTTCAAAAAGACGGAAGTCTGTGAGGTATACAATCCGAATTGTTTGTTCTTGTAAAAAAATGGAGTCGATAAAAAGTATGAAATTCGCTGATAAATATAAATCGACCAATTAAAAATTTCACGTTGGTACTTTAACGGAAAATAAACCTATCAGGAGCTATTCTATAATTGCTAAGATAATAGATCGACGATTACAAAGATAATAGATCCATTCCATGTATTAACGACTTCGTGCATGTTGAAAACATAATTTGTTATATCAAGTTCGCATTCAAGATTAACTGTTCATTATCTGATATAATTCGCATTGCACTGAAACTCTCATTAAATTGACTTTGAAATAGTGTAATTACTACACAGTTCATCTTCCTCTTCGGTAATGCGCGATTTTTCATCGTCAACAACCACCATAAGAGCAACTGGCAAACGTATGTACCGATGGTTGAATCAAACTCAAGGCCACTTCCATAATTCGAAATTACCCCAGACGATACTTCTAATTCTATGCCATATCAAAAAATTTTAAATAGAAACAAATTATAGAAAGTACAAATAAAAATAGCCAAATAGTATGATGCAGCAGACACTTAATTTTAATTTCTTCTCCCTCCCAACAATTTTAATCCTAAATATACTATGATATTTTTGATAATAAGAACAAGATAATCTACTCCTTATTCTATTTTTACAATTTAAACAAGCCTAAAACAGAAGTCAAATAGTTATAAGAGAACCAAAGTCAGGATTAGATCGATATTACGATCGTCTTGTTCTTGCTGCCAATAATATCCATTGGAGGATCTCCCTAAATCAGGAGCCTAATGGCGGACCTCGGTACTCACCAGGGTATCCTTCCGGGATCACGATTTCCGGGCCAACTTTAACGTCGTGACGGTAACGGTGCATCAGCAGGGTGGCCGTGACTCTCAGCGATCTCTGCTGTTGTTTGTACAACAGTATCGGTCGTCCACCGGCGCCTTCCACCCTGACCACCCTGGGCAGCGAGAATCTGTCCAGGAACTCGCGCAGAGGCATAAATCCAGCCCCAGAATTCGCTGCTTCCGCGGTCGCCTCGCGGGAGCTTGGCAACGAGTCGTCGCCAGTCCCGGTTACCTCACCACTGGACAGCGTCGAAAATTCACCACTCGATGACATCGTCACGCACGAGCTGGGCTTTCACGTTATCATAGACACTGAGTACGCGATTACACGTTTCACAGCGGCAGTGTCTTCGTCCTGGAACCAAAAAGTTTGCGCTCAAACACTAGAACTAGAGTGATTTCATTCTTAGGTACTAGCTCTGACAGAAGCGACAATGTCCTAGTTTGGATACAAGCAAATCTAGGCAACACTCTAGTGGATACTCTAATTCAAATGGATCAGTATTGTAGATACTATATATCTAGTTTCCAAACACTAGAATTAAGGTGATTTCATTCTTAGGTGATGGTTCTGATAGAAGTGATAATTTCCTAATTCGGATATAAGCAAATTGTAGGTGATACTCTAGTGGATACTCTAGTCAAGATGGACCAGTATTTTAGGTACTATATATTTAGTATTCAAACACTAGAACTAGAGTGATTTCATTCTTAGATCCTAGCTCTGATAGAACCGATGATGTCCTAGTCCGTATACAAGCAAATGTTAGGTGATACTCTAGTGAATACAGTGATGATTAAAATTATTTCAAATGGAGATGATTCTGTGTTAAGTGCAAGTTGTTATAACACGGTTCTTGCTATGTTAGTTCAGCTATTGAATACTAAATCTAAAATGGGATCTTAATTCAAACAGGCGTGATTATTCGTTAGGTGCAATAGAGTTGGTAGACTCTGATAGAGGTGGTCGTATCTTAAATGCTATCCTATTTCAGATAAGAGACTATCGCTACATATAGAGACAGTTACACCTAAAGGTGTCGGTTTAGTCCAGATAGAATTGGCTGAATCATATTCCCCTATCTCGATTTAGATAAAGATAATTATATCTGATAATTCAGGTTCTGTCTAAGATGCTGGTTTAATTCCATTAGAATCAGCTGTATCGCGAACACTATCTCGATGCAGATATGGAAGGTGGTATGCTAGGTGTTGGTTCAGACAGTGGCGTATCTTGCATTCTAATTCAACTAAAGACAGGTGATTCCTGCTACCCTGGTATAGACAGATTTTCAACGCTGAGAGGAAGAAGTTAATGCAAAACAATCCCTCGATCAGACGCATGGATATCGCGTTTAACACGATATGCATCCTTAAACATGGTGTTAAAGTTTGTAATCCAGATGCCCGCCGACAAAGGGATCGTAAAAAACCTGGAAGGAATACTGTATGATACTTGAGACAGACTCGGGTGGGAACACGATAGCCTTGACGATACCAGCCGCCAAATGTGTCTTTCGCCACTTATTACGGAGCCACGCAGCCAACACCTGTCTCCTATGCCTTAGCACCCATCGTGCGTGGACTATAGAATCGTTCCGAAGCTCTAGAGTCTCGACATCTTAGCTGGCTACTGCCTTCGCGCTCCTCCGCATCGCCATTGTTGAAACACGTAGATTGTTTACTTTGTAACAACACAATACGCTTTAATTGTGGTATACAGAACGAGGTTTGCTAGAGTTCAGTCGAGAGACGACGTGACGTGAAAAGAGCTGCACCGTTTGAATTTATTCTGAAGGACGCAGACCTTAGACTCAAAGATGGATGATCTTCTGGAATCTAATACCAATTTTCCGAGTAGTCGATTGTTGAGATTGTTTTTATCCGAATAAAAAATTCGAATTTGAGCAGCGAGGTGGAATATTTCGTAATGGAGGGCTGTAACGTCGATTTTGTTCGCTGTTATTGGAACAGAATGTTGGCCAGCTGCGTATCGAGGGAAACGCCGGCGAACGAGGCCCTTTCCAGCTACGGAATTCGTTATTCCGCGAAGCGTGGCAGCCTTGACAGTGATTCGCCGGCGGCAGAGTGTGCCTCGGCTAACGAGTGATTATACTCCGGAGCGGCTTGACGATGATGGTGATGATGATGAATTTATGACGATGATTATCTCCCGTGGCGTACTGCTGTGTCGCCACCGGTGTTTGTCTTTCAGACGAGCAGGCAGCGGCGCGAGAAAAAAATGCCCACGGAATGATGGAATGAGGCTGGTTCGCGGTTGGTTAAGGATTGTTCCGGCGAGTGGCGTTGACACGCGACAGCCAGCTGACAAATTAAGGCTAATTGATTGGGGATGCGCGAGGATTGATCGTGGGAATTCTGAAAGACGAGCCGGTTCGGAGCGAATGGGATTTTTGACGACCCGATGATTCGCCGTGTCCGTTCGCGGTGTACGGCTATAAATCAATCCTTGCTCTCCCCGTTGATTGGACAACCTATACGCGTATTTTACACCGGGACAACAAACGATTGAAAGACAGTAATTTTTTTTTGCAAACGTTTACACGGAAGAGCGACCAACGATGCGCTTAGGAATTAAAAAACGAACGGATTACAAGTGTATTCGAGCCATTTTGCAACTCTCCGTTATAGTTAATTCATTTCCATCGTCTAGTTTGTTCGAATAATGCCTCGACAATCGTTTGAATCTGTCCGATCTGAATTCAACCGCGACGTCTTCCCTCGGAGGACGAAAACGCAGTTTCCTAGGTGACTTGCACCTGTACCATTCTTCAGCCGCGTGTTCGCCGCAACACGACGCTCGCATCGCATACGAATGACAAGAATTAATATTCCAGCTGTGTAAGATATGATGTGCGGAGACTCCGGGCATTATACATGGTTCCGGTCATGAATACGCATGGCCAGCCACTTCTTTTTCTCTTCCTTTTCCCATAAAACCTAAGATAGAACTTGTCTCCAACTTCGACCAGTCCCATTATTCGCCTTGGGACTCTTATAATAGCTGTGCAGTCGATTGTCGAACTTTTGGAAGGCGAAATTCGTGCGATCGCAAGAAGAGTTTGCGATCTTGCAGTGTCTTAGGGCGCCATCTTGGTTCAGATTTAGATGCTCCCAATTTAGATGTTCTTAGACTGGATAGGGATTGTTGTATTTAAAGATTTTGTCTTATATCAGTTGGGGATGATTGTACCTTAGTAGTATTTTCAAATTGCATTCTTGTATCTTGAGTACCTTAGCTATTTGAATAGTTATGGTTGTACCTTAGGTACCTTAATTTAAAGATGGAAATAGTTGGATCTTAGGTACTATTTAGGTGATGTTGTCCAATACAAATGATAATTATAATATTTTGTAATTTTAAGTACCAGTAAATGAGAATCAATGTTTAAAAAAGTGATGCACCGATTTGACGTCGTCGATTTTGGTTTGTCCCCGAATGATCACGAATGCACAATGATTTATAACGAATTATAAATAGAATGCAATGGCCCCCACATGTTATGCTATAAGTTTGCTTTTATCTTTGAAGTTAGCTGTATAGCTATGTACAGTATACACTGTATAACATAAATACTCAACGGCAGTCTTTGTCCAGTCTGTTCCGTGATTCGGTATGCCGATTGGGTTCGGTCAAATGCTTTGTATTCTGTTACGGGGTTGTGGACAGCTTCTGTTCTCGCATACGCGATCTTTTGTTTTAGATACTTTGACCCTGGATATGTGATTCTCTCCTTGAAAAGCTCAGTCTTCGTATTCGTAGACATTTACTTCAAATGCTAGTAGTATCACCGTTATAATAATTATAATTATCATTTCTATCAAAAGTATAATCAGTTGGATAACTCGTCTCTTTTTAAAAGATTCTAAGAGAATGTTTAGAGCAAGAGTTGTTTCACAAAGAACATTGTATTTTTGAAAATAAAATCGATCGACTGATAGAAAACGTGGTACAGGTTACGTGTGCCCCATAAGTCTCGGGATTTGTCGTGAATTCTTTGTCGTGGCAGTTCGAGGAAACGAGGGGGCTTTTCATTGGGAGCAATCGCCCAGTCAAGCAGAACTTTCGAAACGCTTTCGTTCTCGCGAAATCGCCCTGCGAGCCATTTCACTTTCCAGCTCGTTCCTTTTTTGGTATCGCCGGGACCGGTGTAATCGGCCGGCGTCTGTCATCTGTAACACGCGTAATCGCCGGCGCGCGCCGCATCGTCGGCGAAATTGCCATGGAGCGCGAAAGAAATTAATTACACGCGAACGTCCATTCCCGCCAATTAACGCTCTCGCGACCGACGCCGTGCCATACGCGCGACGATCGTTACCCCTTAAATTCGGGAACCATTCACGTAATACGCCAGCTGTTCATACGTCGAGCAATAAACATATAATATAATAAAAAATAGTATCGTTCCCACATGCTGGTTCTGTTTATCTTCCCGAGAGTGTCATGAACGAGTTAATGAGGTTTCTCCGAAGAAAATGAGTACAAACATGACTTTAGACCCTATACAGGGTGACCTATTTAAATCGAACTTCATGAACGTATCTCTGAAACGATTGGCGATATCGAAAAATGGTTCAGACAAAAGTTGTCTAGTTTCGAAAGAGGTGCAATCTGACAGCAATAATTTTTATAAATTAAACAAAATTTCTACTATGAGAATACTCAGTCATATACTTGCACTGAATATAAATAAAAAATTGCTAATTGCAGGATCGAAAAAGACGCGTGGACGACCGTAGCGAATGCAAACATTTATCGACGAGTAAAAAGAAGATTTTTTTTTGCTGTTGGCGCGTAACAGATCGGGGCCAGAGTGAAAGTTTTCGATTTAGCAATTCGCCCATTAGCGGGGGCTCACGGCTGGCTGAAAACGCTCGATGTTTTCCGCGTGTGACGTTATTCCGGCCCGCGTCGCTGACGTAATTTGACGCGGAACGCGTCCGCGCAGAACTAAGCGGATTTAATTAAGCGCGAGGGGAGTCTTGGTTTCTTGCATGGCGGCCAGACGTAATTAACGAGCACACGGGGCCTCGCGAAAGAAAACGGTACGGGATATTTTTCGTAGAGGCGTGGGGTATCTGAATTTATGATTGCGATGCGTTTGATATTTCGCAACGAGTTCCGTGAGAACGAAACCGCGCCGCGGCGGCTGCCAGGCCTTTTGAAACGCGTCGGCCGCCCCGCCGCGAAACTCGGCCGAGTTTGCTCGCGGCATCGCGCGATTTTTCAACGCTTTCCGCTTCGTTTCGCTATGCGCAAATCGAGACGCCGAACAACCTTGGGATCCAGGGGATTTAAATCGTAACGAGTCAATGGTACCGGCGCGATAAACTATCGTTTTACGTGGATTATTCGAGGCACGAAAGAAGAAACGCGATAGGGCTGTAACGAACCAACGAACGGGTTAAAAATGGCGCTGGGATTAGCCGGATAATTTAGTATTCGTGTGTTCTGAAGAATACTATCGTTACTTGGGATATCTGAATAGTCAAATTATTTGACAAAATATTTAAATATTTCATCACTATCAAAATATTGTAATATTAATATTTAATATTTAAAATGAGAAACTCCTGTTCCACAAGCTTCTGGCCTCGAACCACTCCTATTCAATAATTTGTTTCTAATTATTATTCTATATTAAAAAATCGATCGAATATGTGGGCTATATCTTTTGTACACATTATTCTCGAGAAAAATGATTTTAAAAATTCTTGGGGTTCGCATACTACCGAGAGGCGGCTCGACTAACGCGTGTCTGTCTATTACTCGATATTTCTACTTGCACCGGTGGCCTTAAAATTATTTACTCCATAGAAATGTCTCTTCTTAATTAATCTTATCGTCTCATAATTGATTAGAATAACCTTTTCAAAAATAAATAATACCACTTCAATATCAGTGGCAGGGAACACCAAACGTAAGTAGAAACAACGAGCAATGGTCAGACACGTCAAACAAGTCATACTCGATCACTCTCGATGGAACAAAGACTTGGATGAAAAAACTTTCCTCTGTACTTTCCATATTTCCATTTCAAATTATGCTCAATTAATGCCCAATTAATATATCATCACAGTATTGTAAATAAAATGTTTGCTATGCATGGAAAAAGTTCACGTATGCTCCAATTTATTTATCGACGAGTCTCTTAGCATACCTAGAGCGAAACGTCATCATTATTACTGCTCGTTGGAATTTATTAATAATAACAATACGTTTCTATCGCCGCACGCTGAGTACAAGATATCATTTACGGTTTTTTAATCTGTTGGAACAGCGTGTAACTTCAATTAGCGCAAATTATAAGCACTCGAAACACATTCACCGATTATTTCATTCACTGAACGGCTCGAGTATTTGTATAGAGAAAAAAATATTTCTATCTCTAATTAAAACCGCAAATATCCACTGCCGTCTATAAGTCATCGTGCACTTGCTCGTCCGGCTCGGAAAATGCAAATTAAGATAGAGATACGATATCCTGAAACGTTCTTGTTACCTTATTTTGTTATATTTACTTAATTTTAGTTATCCCTTCGCCGTACAATTTACAATGCACATATATAATTTAAGTTAATGCGCAATGAGCAAGATTGGACGGGAAAGTAATTTCCAAGATAAACGTGTGTATGAAATGAAAGGACTTCTCGAGAATATTACAGGAAGGTAGGAGTAAACTTATTCCAGAAATACCATAAAAATTAATTGATAAAGTGCCCTTGATTAATTCAAGCGATCATTTTCAAACGAGGCGGATACATTAATAAAAGGAGCATTTAAAATCCCACAGGTAACTTTTCCATCAAATATTTGACATTGAGCAAATAAAAACTAAAATTACTTTACACTGAATTAATTTATGAGATTGCAAATGTTTTTAAATGATCACTGACTGATCTTAACAAAGGCTTTGATATCGAATTCGTATAAATCACGCCTCTACTTTGATTTTCCTATTTCATAATGCCTTCAGTTCGTTTAAATTCTTGGGAAATGTTAGTGTTACGCATTTGTGGAGTATTTGGTGTGTAACGTGTTAAATCACCGACTATTGCTAATGAGTTACACAGCGCAACTTGAAATTTGTAAACAGAATAATGGACTACGAAATCGGAGCAATTAAGACGGAATTCTTGATCGTTGGTTCTTTTCGCATTTAACGATGAATAGAACAATCAGTGTTTTAATATGCAAGGTGATTATACCGTTAGTGTCGATTCTTTCCATATTTATAGAAGGATACTCCAAAAAGTAGCGATATCCGAACTGTGAAATTTAAATGGCATTTTTTATTTTTATTTATTTACCATACATATCGGAGCAGGAAAGAATTCGTTAATTTTTGTTGGACATTTCTCTGATATAAGAGCAGTTCGATGGTATTTTTCCAAATGAAAATTCAAAATAAACTTGACAACAGGCTCCGATAAAGCGTTATCTTGGTAAAAGTGCAAACTTCACTGTGGAAGCGGTTCTCGTAAAAGACGAGTTAACTTGTTCTGCCCGGCTGAGAAGTTAAAAGCCGTCGTGCAACATTTTTGCTATATATAAATATACACATAGAGCCACTTGTTTGCTTCTCTTTAACCAACAAGCAGCGATAATTTTTTCGCGGCCCCGGCATCGTCGTCATAACGAACGCCTTTAATAACTCCCTTCGTCTATCCTTGTTAACGTTCCGCCATCCTCGTCGTTTTTCAATCTCATCGAGTTTCTAATTCCGTTTTTCCGTCTCTCGTCGTTCCCCTGCAAACATTTCTTTCGTCGAACAATGGCGAATCGGGTTAATTTTTCATCGTCCATCGCTTTCCTACGACCGCAGAAACGATTAGACCGCGAGTCACAGAAATTTCCATTTCGGTCACGGAGCTGCACTAATTTTTCTACGACCACTAACGCTGCTCCTCCGATAACCGTGAGTCCCAGAAACCTTCCTTCGACGGTTCGATGCACCAGATAATCTTTTTCAGCCTCGAATTAAAAAAAAAATTGCAACTTTCCTACGCCACCTACGCCAGCAACGATCAGCGATCGATCGGAGTCGTGTTTACCACGCTTCTCCCACGAAGCGATATTCCATCGCTGGGAAAAACTGCTAACCGTGGAAAGTCCCTCGATCGATACTCTATCGTGCCATCGTAGAAACGAACTCTAACGTTCCCATCCCCATTGGAAACATAACCTCGTTAAATCGCACGTCGGGGGAGCCACGCACGTGCACCACGTACTCGAAATCGATCGTCGATCCGTCGAGAGAAACCCTTCCACCTGTTTCCTATCGCGCACCCACCTTTCCCACTGGCGATCTTCGGCTCCCGGTGATATCTCAAGATCCACCAAACGTGTGAGAAGCACGCACGCGGTTCACCTGCACCGAACACACGACAACCATGACCGCGGTACGGTGTTTCGTCGGAACTTTCACTGTCCGATGACGATTAGCGGACCGTGTACGAGACCGGCGACCGATCAAACGACGGACGGAGATAGAAGATGATCGGGTTCGATTTCTCAAAGGATCGAGGAGGGACGCGGTGGATCCATCCATCGATCGATCGAGGCTTCGAGCGCGACGTGGAGCGCCCCCGACGCTCCGGACGAGATCGTGCGACTAAAGCTCGCGATCCGCGAGGACGCGCCGCGAGCAGCGCAGCGGCTTATCCCCACCCCTCCGACACGTTTCAAATAAACTGTATCGCGCAGACTCGGGAGGCACACGAGCCGACCGACGGAGGATCTCCTCGACCTGCCTTTTCTTTCCACTCCCTTTCTATTCGACTTCCGGGGGGTCTTCTTTTCCCGCGCGCCTCAAGCTTCCGGTTCCGCGGCAGATTTCCCGCTGCGCCCTCTTCCACGCTCTTCACGCCATTTTCCACGACACCGTCAACCTCCACTGAATACTATGGCGACGAATTTCTTTAAAATTATGACTAAAACTCAATAGACTACGTATTTTGCATATTTTTGTTGCTTATGACTAGACTGCGGATCTTTATGCAAATTCACATTTTTATTAATAGAATTAATGAAACGGAAGCTTCGCAGAGGGCTGTCTCAACCCCTAAATATAATAATTCGTATCTTACTTTAAGTATTTCTTATATTTTTGCATATTACATGCATTCTGTAGTTTTTTGAGGATTAAAATTTTCCATAAATGCATAAACATCCGCAGTCTACTTATGACTTTATAGACTTGTCAAGATAAAGTCAAATATTGCTACATTTTGCAAAAACTTATATTAACAAGGACGATGCTTTTTGGGGAAAAATAACATTCTCAGACGAATCTAATTTTAGCTCGCAAACAGTAAAACATGGAGGTGGTACTGTTATGGTATGGGGTTATATAGAAGCTTGATAAATATAAATACATCAACGTTTTAAAAAATAATCTCAAAGATACTACCTGGAAATTAGAATTTTAGCAAATTTCCACTTTCAGCAGGATAACATGGCTGCTTTACAATATACCATATACATTAAACACTCCATCATAAAGATAACAATCCAATTGTGGAGGGAAATTGAAAAAAGACTTAATAAATATCAGATTGCATCAACACGCATGTCAAGAGAAAAAATAATCGAGACATGTATATATACATTTAATGTAACAATAAATGCAAGGTTCGAATACTTTTGTTTTGTCCATTGATGGTGCGTGTTTGTAATAAATATGTTAATTTAATAAATTAATTTTTGATATACCAGTCTACTAATCGTAATTTATAACTCTCATCTAATATAAGCAATCTGGGTGAAGCGTGTTGTAACTATTACTGCACTCTTCGTTCGTTAAAATTTGAATAAGCAGCGCATTATATTTGCAAAAAGAACTGGTTAAAAATTTCCCTGGTATAGTTGCGCGGAAAACTCGTTCTATTTACAATTTCCACCGCGTCAACTAGCTTTTTTCGTTTAATATTTATGTGAGATATCGTTGTTCGGGAGAGGTACGTGATAACCGCTAAGTACTACCTTCTTTATCACGGGATCGATATTGGATACCATGGTTTAATTACAGCGTTTGCGGTCTAATTAACAACTGCGTATTATATAACCTATCTGTGCAATTAACATAGGTTACTACATCGTAATTTAGCATTTCACGATGAAACCGAGAGAGTTTCGACGTGTCTGCATAGCTCGTATAAATTCCACGAGATTGAAGCAACGGGGCCATAATCTGAATACGTTTCACTTGATAGCGTAATTGCATCGGCGTTGTGGTATTTGATTAATCTCATCACGTAACGTTACGCTTTTTTTTCCACCATTGAGAGATTAGCATTTACATTCCATATGATTCGCGAAACGCGCAAAATTAATAAATTTTACTTTTCGACCGTGCCCGGACTAGAATACTTACGACTGGTTTTTCACTTGAATACCTCGTCTAATTAAAATATAGTTACCTCTGATTTCGTGCAATTAACGATAATTAGCTTTTAATTGACCGTACTCTACGTGTTATTATTATAATTAAACTCGCTGGAAAATTGCTCATTAGAATTTCAGAGAACGTTTGCGAAGTAATTTGAATTGTTATCGTCTAGAACGTGCCTTTACGAAGTTTCTGTAACAAATACGATAGTTTGTCTTCGAAACAAATGAGAAGAAATATGTCAGATTCCATCAAAATTAAAAATTGCAATCATATCGATCTACAGGAAATTAATCACGGTATTATGTAGTGGTTCTGATACATAGTAGCCTAACAAAACAATAAACGCCTCGGAATATCTTGCACGAGCATCAACATTCTCCGACGCCTCTGTTCTTTTGCGATTTAACAGTTACCATAATCAAACCTCGTAATTACAAATATCGATTTAGAATACATCTCTATTCGGCTACGTGCATCGTATCCAACAGATGCTGTTCGAACATATGGCGTGCCACTTTTCAGAAATCCCGATGAACCGCTATGCAACGCGTCCTCCAACGACGTCATCGACCTCCAACGTAAATCGTAGTATCTGTTTGCTCCCAGGTGTCGACTTCGGCCTTCGCTATGTCTATAGGAACAATTAACGAGAGTTTGCTACACCTTGACCTCCAATACGTGCTCATCGTTCGCGCAACACGCTGACCGTCGGTCCTAGTGGCCCGCTGAGACTTTCCATTTGCAATTCCGACCTGCTCTTCTCGTGTTCAACGTTGTTCATAAGTTCCTCGTGACTTACGAAACAATCAAGTTTAACGAAAGGCGTAAGAATTTATTTTGACATGGATTTCGAAATTAGGAATGCATCTTGAGCAATGGCTCGTCATCGATGCATTGATGCAACCCGTCCACGATAGGTTAATCACAGAAGCAAGTACCGTTAGCGGATTATTGTGCATTAATATTCATGATGTCAGCGATACGTTAGAGTATTGCGATACAAGGTTCCCTTGTAATCTATTCATCGGAGGTGTCCGTTTCTAGGAAAAACGAGCAACTGCGTATCGGCATGCGGCCAATAATGCAATGCAATTGGTCGTTGCGCAACGGTGCTCGGCTACGATACTGTTTCTACGGTGTATTAGCTCTGATCGATGCGAAATCCCCGCCGTAACAATCGCAGTTTGCCTCTAGAATTTGAATTCTGGAGTAGCCAGGTAGACCCGCAACTTATATTTTTGCCACTCCCTTTTAATGAACGACGACCGGTGCCCGACACCAACGGGTTTAATGATGGAGCACGAATTGAAAAACCTCTCAAACTCTGGTTTCGATTGTTCCGCAAACACAATAACGGATAATGATCTCTCCAACTTTGCATAAACAAAATATAGGTACGAAGTTGGACAATGCTGCAATAAAGAAGTCACTCGATAAATATTTCCACGGTAATGATTCTTAAAATGATCACGTGATTCGTAAATTGAACATTTCTATCCCTCTATCGACTATCTCACATCCGTTAGATGAGGTATGGGTACTTCGTGTATAGTGATGATTCTTAAAATGAACACGTGATTCGTAAATTGAACATTTCTATCCTTCTCGACCCTACGACATTTAAAGAACGATACGAGCTGGGGTGCCTCCACTGTACGAAAGACGAAGACTGTACGAGAGATGTTCATTTTAAGAATCATTATTCCTTGATGTTGTCCACTCCTATTTTGTAGGTCCAGGGCATAAGTTTTCAATCTGTGGGCTCCATAAAAGTTTGAGAAGGCCTGGCCAACTGTATTCGTTCGATTTCGAAAAGAATTAAGTTCAGAACCCACGATGAGCACACGTCATCCTGTCTCATCAGCGACTCGCCCCTTTCATCAGAGACGCGGCAAAAAGTCACACGTGTTTCCACACACGGAACTGCAAACGCTTTCACGTTCCACCTCCCGACGACGGCTAATTACTCTGGAACGCAAAGAATATTGATGGCAGTGTTTAAACGAGAAATTGTTACGCGACCGTCATTGTCCCCCCGTAATTGCCGTTCGCGGAATGATTATTGACTCGCGCGACGATGATTACAGCGACGAGGAGCGACGGTGTTCATTGTGTGCGACCCGCCGGCCTATTAATACGTTTCTCTGCGGCGTTGTTGACTGAGGTCAGGGATTGAGAATGCCGGTGCTTCTATCCTACGGATCTTCGTTTTGAATTATGCTTCATTGTACTTCGTTACGAATCACGGCGCGTATTGTGCCGGGTATACGCGAACGTGATTGTTTGCCTTTGAATTGAATCACACCCTGGCCAGCAATTTTTCTTTCTAACGAGTAAACGCGCTGTGAAATACTTCGTTAATGGCGTTATCCTTCGCGAATCTCGGGAACACGGTTCTTCAATAATAATTACTATTTTCGTTTGTTTCGTCGGGATCGATATAGGTTAACAAGCTGCTTCTACAGTTGCTTGACTTTGGTCTTCGATATATGCAAAATTTATCGAACAATTTAATTTACTATTACATATGCATAAAGATGAAGTTGAATAAAAAAATAACTGTGTGATACAGAAAGAAATAATCTAATCCGAGCGTTTAAATTCCACCATAGTGGTAACGAGTTAAACTGGCCGCTCAAGTCTACAGATATCCCCACCACTCCGAGTCTCGCGACTGCGCAGAACCGCGGACACGCGCCCTCTATCGGTCAGAGCGGTGCACGCGCATACGCATAGCGGAACTTCGCTCTAATAATATCCTTAAAAATATAATGCCGATTAATTCGATCAAACGATTAAATTTCGTTATCCGAAGTATTCGTACGCACGGATAGAAATTCTAACGACGCAGCGAGGTCGACAGGGGTTTCAGAATTATAGAATATAATTACCGTCCCTCGCTGTGTCATGTTTGCCAAGTCATTTAAGTGAAAGTTTCCGTGAATCTATAATTATCCGCGGTACGAACTGACAAGAAGCGACGATAATCATCGAAGATTCGCGTCCGGCTGAGCGCGCTAATACGGATATTATCGGAGTGTGTTAACTTACGTGACATCCTGAACGACGGGGCAGGCCGTCGGTTATGCCGCGCTGCTCAAAGGAACCAGTGTCATCAAACATGCCGTGCGTATTCAAGTTTGTACACCGCTCACGAGCCAAGTACGCGAGTACACGCGTGTAC